ATGCAACAAAAATATTAAAAACATACTAAAAAATATACTACTAACATACTAAGAAAAACATATAAAAAAAATACTACTAATGTACTAAAAAACAAAGTACCAAAGATGAAAAAGAAATACATCTACAGTGTATGAGCGTGCATCAGGATATCTGCAGTGTGGTTCTGTTTGCAGTGAGGATCTTTCAACATCATGGTTCTGTTCTGTTAGTGGCGTGGTCTTGTTAGCAGGTCCGATCCGCAGCTTAATGGTAATAAGGACCGCAGCAGCTGCCCTCACAGACCGCAATCCAGAACCGGGTTTGGCAGACAGAGATTATCCAAGGTTTCCCCGCGGAACCAAACAGGCCCGTACAGTTTGGTCTGTGCAGGCAGATGGAGGATCATGGAGACAGCCGCCATGACAGGCCAGAGCCTATAGGCCCAAGGCTGGAGGGGGGCTGGGAATTGAACCACAATGGCATGATGGCATGATGGCATGATGGCAAGGCAGTTGCAGTCATACCCGTACCGTGGGTGTGCATTGTAGGCGCAAAAAAAGTTAAAATAAAAACAGCAAGAATGTAAAAAGATAGAGTTGAAGCAGCGCTCCCATCAGTGCTACCATTCTGTGACACACGTGACCAGCTAGCTGTGGTAGTTAAGATTAAAAAATGGACATATAAGATTATTTTATGTCTATCCATCCATCCATTATCTTTTACCTGCTTCTTCCCTTTTGGGTCACGGGGGTCGCCGGTGCCCATGTCCAGCAATCACTGTGCGAGGGGCGGGGTACACCCTGGACGGGTCCCAAGTCCATCACAGGGACACATAGAGACAAACAAGACAAACAACCATTCACTCTCTCACTCACACCTGGAGACAATTTAGAGTTACCAATCAGCCTAACATGTATGTTTTTGGTTTGTGGGAGGAAACCGGAGTACCCGGAGAAAACCCACGCATCCAGGGAGACAACATTCAAGGTACTCCCAGAAAGGTCCCCGGACCGGGATTTGAACCAGGGACCTGCTCGCCGAGAAGCAGCAGCTCTACCAGTTGTGCCACAGTGCTGCCCTTATTTTATGTCTAATCCTATAAAAATTAAAATAAAAGCAAATTAATGTAATATTTAAAAGCTTTCCAGGCTCAGTTTAGACATCAGCTTATACTTTACTGACTGTATGTGAAGCTCAGTAAATATAATCTCATTTAACGCAGCACTGTTTTAATCTCTGCCCTCATTTATTTCCTTTTCTTTATGGGTTTTCCTTCAACTTGAAGTAAATTGGTTTGTTTTTGCACACACAACTCCACACTGTGATAATTTACTCAAAATTCATATAGTGATAAATAAAGCTTTCACACTTTACAGTATAATGGCAACTAGCTCCTCTGGTTCTCCTCTGCTCTGTAGAGTTGAAGAACGGGGGCAGGCAGAGCTGCAATGAGCATCATCATCATCGTCGTCACTCAGCAGAACTGATGAAGCAACTTCTCAAGCCTTTAATCATATTTTATCACTTAATGAGGACTTTTTATTGTTATGGTTTCACCTAAAACACAGCTCATGGCAGACATGACTACAAACGTGAAAAGCACTTTCAGGCCAAGGATGAAGATTCTGGGACAAAAAATGAGACAGGAAGAGCTTGCTGGGTGATGGAGCAACATGTAATCTGCGGGTAGTGTAAATAGCCATGGGGGGAGCCATAAGGTGGGTTTACAGCTGGTTAGCGGATGCTCTAATTGTGTCATTTGGTGTCCTTGGGGCTCATTGAGGGAAAAGCAATGTGACAAAACACAGCAAGTTCACTGAACATGAAAGGGCTGAAGCAGGGGTTCGGCCATTTTCCAGTTGTTTTGTGTTTGTTCAAACTGAGCCGTAGCACTGTTACGCCTGTGTTCTTCATGTTGCCCACAGTTTATCAGTGGTTGGTCTGTAACCCTGGTAACACAAGCTGGAGGGTAGTTTTTTATTCTTTTAAATGTTACAACCCAGGAATTGAAAATTAATACAACACCGTAGTAGTTTAACTAGTTCTGTTCACACAGTAATTTGACCTCCGTGTCTTTTTTTTTTTTTGTCAGAATGATAAAAGAAGAGTTGATCAGTCCAAATTCAAGCAGCAAATCTGAGTAAACAAACAACATGCCGAAAAAATCTTTGCCAAGGGGGAAAAAAGATAAATTATAATGTGGAAAAACTGCTTTGAACTGCTCACACTGGCTGTCAGAAAGCTCAAGCGGAGCTGTGTGGAAAAACAAAACGTCTTCAAACAAGATGGCTGATAAATGAATAAAGAGCAGGCTTTTGGATTTGTGTTATGATTTATTTTAGAAAATAGTCCTCGCCATATTGCATCTGAATTTGAAAAAGAAAAAAGTGATTTAAAAATGTGTCCCCATGTCCTGTTTCTACCTGCAATATTACCATTATTTGTCTGTTATTTATACAGGATGACATTTTTGGGTACAAAATCAATCAAATTGATCAAATTGGCAAACAATTAGAAAAATACAAAGACTCTCTGAGCTAAAGCTAACAGCAAAAAGGAGCAGCTGCCTTTCTTTAACTTTAAGACAAAGTGTTTCTTAAACATGGCCAGAAGGTTATACTATTGTGTGGATGCTTCATAAACGTTCAAACTATTGTGATCCATTTTTCTTTTGTACGTTTTTCAGCATTTTTCTCATTCCACATTTTTTTGTGCTATTTCAACAAATCATAAATCAAAACATTCAGCCTGTTCAGGACAATCCCGCTGTGACTTTTGGTATTGGTGCAACTTTAGCTTTTTGAAATATTTAGCCTTTTCTGCCATTTTTTTTTCTTAGAAAATGAATTGAGCTCATTTTACATCCTTCACATCTTTAGATCTGTTTTCAACCTTTACTGCTCCTTTCACATTTTGTTCTGGTTCAGCTTCTTTCAGCTTCCTGGTGCAAATTTAAATTAAAACTTTTTTCACCTACTTTCATCTAATTTCAGCTGTTTTTGTTTGTTTGTTTGTTTTTGCTGTTTTCAGCTTATTCAGTACTTTTTTGTGCCCATTTCATTCTCTTTCAGCCAAAATGGACAGTTTTTTCTCATCTTTCTTATGCTAATTTAAGCTTGTTCTGCTTCTTTTTTTAAGCATTTTTAGGTAATTTCATCTGTTTTCAGATAAATTCAAGTTTTCCTTGGTAATGCCTGCTACTTTCGGTCTAATTAACTTTAAGCTAATGTTTGCTTGTTATGCTCCTTTCAACTTATTTCTGCTAGTTTCAGAATTTTCTACTATTTCAGCTACTATTTAGCTGTTTTATGCTAAATTTAGATTTTTCAGCTAATTCCACATTCCTGGAGCTGATTTCAGCTCCTTCTGCTTCCTTCTTGTAGTTTATATTTTATTTTTGCCTTTTCAGCTACTTTCAGCTATTTTTTTGATAATTTTAGCTTTTTAAGCTAATTTCCTATTATTTTTGTGCTTATTTCTGCTTATTTAAATGTAATTCAGCAATCTGGAAAGGGGATGAAACGTTTCTCATTTAAAGAAACTGGTCCAGATGACACAATTTAAACTTTTTTGTTGTTATGTACCTGGACGATTGAGCCTACAACACATGTTCTGCTTTATTCTGCTAAATTAGGCTTGTTCTTCCTTTTCAGCTAAATTTAATCTGATTTTCAGCAAGTTCTTCAGCAATTTCTACATTTGTCTTATAATCTAGCTGTTTTTGTTACTTCTTTTGCCATCTTATTTGTAAAAAAATAAAAAAAAATCTCTATGCCTTTTATAATTGTCTATCGTTGGCGCTTTTGTCCATTGTTGTCATCATTCTTTGTTGAATTCAGGTCTCTCTTGTAAATGAGGCATCGAGGCTCAATGGGATTAACCTGTCTTAATAAAGATTGAAAAAAAAAAAAGCATTCACACTGCATTTTTTGCAGGAAATGCAATTTCTCTAGTTTTATTTTTAAGTTTAACTTGAACAAAAGTCACAATTCAGCTTTTTAGCAGTTTTAGCTGTCTGCCAGGAAACAGGTGATATGCTGAAAAGTTTCTACCGTATATGCTGAGTTTCTCTCCATGCAGGTGAACAAAACAGTGTGCCAAGTGGGTGGAGTTTATACACAATCTGTAGTTTTATTTTCATTCAACCTTTATTTATACAGCTTAGTCTCATTGAGCTTCGAGGACTGTTTCAGCCTCTGTTTATTTAACAGAGAAGCTCCTCCTTTGCAGCACATCTTCACTTTTAGCCAGATTATGAACTGGCTGACTGGAAAGGAACAGATCCCGTCATTGCTGGTGTTTAGATTTTTTTACTGATATGTTGTTTTTTTTAGTAAAGGATGAGATTTCAAATCAACATTTGCAATAAAACATACTCAAGTATAAAGTATATATTGGAATAATACCTTAAAAAAGTACAAAGTACACTAAATTCATAGTCATTACAGTAATGCAAGTAAATGTAATTCACTACTTTCCATTTCTGGTGTTTTCTGTATGAAACGTTTATTTATGCAAAGATTCTCTGACAAAGATTTTACATAATTTAAAAGGCATGGCTGATTTTTACCACCTCAACCGTACTTTTTTCTTGCTTTCTAAAGAGAAAACATACACACAAATAAAAACACGCACCCTGAGACGTAAAAATGAAAAATAGGGAGGAAGAGAATTCCTAATGAGAAAGTGATAATATATTTGTTTTTCTCAAATGGCTGGAGGAGGAATTCAGTGGATGTTAATGGGGAGCAATTAGTTTTGATTAAAAATGAGATTGCTTCTTTATTTGCAGTGTAGTTTTGTCAAAACAAAATAATGATTAATTTTGATTGGTTTAAAACATTAATGTTTACAGTAAAAGTGAGGATGCAGCTGCTCCGAGGCCAAACAACCACTGAAGAAGATGTTTTCTCTAGAAATCCTTGGAATGTAGAGGATGATTGTTGTTTTATGATATGATCATAGAATCTGTGCATGGGTAAACATGTAACTCTATGAATCTGTGCTTTACTTTCTGCAGCATCCATTGTAATTGGGAAGTGGTGGTGTGAGATGGAGCCGTGTCTGGAGGGAGAGGAGTGTAAGACTCTGCCTGACAACTCCGGATGGATGTGCTCCTCCGGAAACAAGATCAAGACCACAAGGGTGAGAGCTCACGCACCCTTCAGTGCAAACATGCACCAATATACTCAAGATGCTCAGGTTTACTGATACAGAATACACACGTGTCCATATATTACCCTCAACATGAATTCTTGAAATTATTTTCCATATACACGATATTTTCAGAAAATGTGTTACAAAACAGATTAACATTTCAAATCTAGCTCATTTATTGCACTTTAAATAAGGCCTTTATGAAAAAATGTCATGGAAATTTAGTTAAATGCTGTGCACAGTTTGTCACCTCCTGCTTCTGCTGGTACCGAGATCAAGGTCAAGGTTCTTCATTGTCATTGCATCACATGTGGTGCATGAGGTGGAACAAAATTGTACACACAGGGTCCCAGTTACACCCATTAATAGCCAAAATATAAACTGCAAAAAGAAACAGTAAATATGGATCTAAGCTATAAACTGATATACGCTAAACGAACGCCCAACGGTACGCTAAAAGATCTAAGATATACGCTAAACACTAATAGTGCAAAACAATACACCGAGCAACAGCAGCACGATTCTCATAGGATCTGTTGGGCTATAATTTACACGTTTAATGCGAGCGGAGTCGGGCTCAGAGCCCCAAAACTAACATAAACTGGGATTTATTCAAAGCATGCAGCAAAAACACAGAAACAAGGCGCCAAAAGTGGAAACAAAATACATCTACAGCAACATGGTCCAGTTGGCACCACGGTACTGTTAGCAGAGTGGTTTGGTTAGTGGCGTGGTTGTTAGCAGCATTAGCAGGTCCCGTCAGTAGCTTGATGGTAACAAGGACCGCAAGCTGCCCTCCCAGACTGCTCTCCAGAACCGGGTCCAACAGAAAGAGAACATCCAAGATTCCCCCGCAGAACCAAGCGGGTCCATAGAGTTTGGTCCATGCACGGATGTGACACCTGAAACCTTTTTAAACAGATTTATACAAACTAAATGAGCGCTGTTTAATCAGAAGGCAGGTCTGTGCTTTCTGTAGAACAAGTCTGGTTTGAGTTGGTGTAAGCATCTTGTCTCATGGTGGTAAAAATAAGTTGTAAACAAACAGGTGGTCCCCGCCTTGGGTCACACTCTTCTCAGAGATAAAGTTGACGAACAGTTTGCTCCTCTGCTGCCTTTTAACTCCCTAAACTGACAACAAATGCAACATGGACAAATAATCAAGGGAGTTAAGTCCTAGAAGCCGGCTGTCCAGCTCTCTGTGGAAGGTTGATCACCTTATTTGTATTCACTTAAGCAGAATCTCTCCCTCGCCTTCTGTAGCTTGGAGACAATGACTCTGAATAAAAGTGAAGACTAATGGGATAGTAGGAAAGCAAGTAGCATTCTGGGAAGGTCAGACTGTGTGGGGCTTCCCAAGGTTGCTCTATAGAGTCACATGCCAGCATTTAGACTTATAGTTTGCACTGGGTCAATCACATCTACCACTGGCTTAAAGGTTTCAGGAAAAAAGCTGTCGTGCAGGCCTATCAATGCAAGAGTAGTCCACTCCACAAAATGCATATCAAATTTTCAACTCAGTCCTTTGCAGGATTTGTTGTAAATAATAAATGTCTGACATATCTTCAGCCATAAACCTTATTTAATTTTCTCAGACTGATTGTTCAGAAATGAAACGCTTTGCTCATACAAGGAAAAAATGCAATAAAGTGACATGGCTTTGCTCGAACGTCTGAGGGGATAAAGGCCACAAAGTCAGGCCTGAGGCTGATTTTCAATCCAATACACACATGTCCTTTTTTCTTGACCCTCTCTTTGCAGAACACCCAGCCATACTCCCCTTTTTAGCTTCCGGAAGCAAAATGCAGAGGATGCGTCCACAGAAATTGAGCTGCATTCTTGCTTCTGTAAAGGTTAGTCCTTTTCTTCAGCTCTTCATTTGGTTTTATTTCGTTTTATTTCATTTCTCTCGCACTTTGCTGTGTGCACTTGAGTATCAGGTGGTAGGAGTGGGACCAACTCATGTTCAACGACTTCCCATTAACCTAAATACTCAGTGCGAAATAATCAAGTGTGTGTTTACATGCTGTGCATGATTAGGCAGGCGTGACACATACTGATCGCGCTGCCATCCATGGTAAATATTTATCATCCAGCGCAGGCAGTGCATGCATAAATTATTAGTCAGTTCCTCTAATTTTCACAAAAACGGTAGCACATACATCACTAAGTGTCTGGGTAAATGTACATGCGGCATATTCTAGCAGTACATTTATGGAGTTCTGCAGAAAAGCACAGAGACAGAGCTCCCTGCTGTGTGTGATCAGTGTGTAATGGCAGGATCAGCCCCTCTTCCTTTCATTGCTTCCTTTGTTCCGTGTCCTGTTTTTGCTACAGGCTACTGTGTAGGTTTGATTACAGTGCCTCGCGCTGGTCTGCCAATCCCATTAGGGACTAATCTGTGACACACTCGCTCCGTTGTGCGTGTGTGCTGCTAAAAGTGTTTGCATGCATGTGTTTTCTGTGTTTGATTTGTGCCTGTGTCTGGGAACATAAGTGAGGTTTGAGGGCAGGCCCCTTCCCTCTCGGTTCTGTGGCTTCTTATCAGAAGCCACTTGATATCCTTATTCCCCTCTGAGGGTCTTGTTGAAGCAGCGTTCAGCGCGCACCGTAGCCCACAGGCTACATGAAAGGCCTTTTATCCTGCACTCTGCTCTCTTTTTAATCAACATTCCTCATTCACCTGCCTCTCAGGCCAAATTGACACATTTGTATGTTCTCCTTCCAGAAGCCCCAAAACCCACACTACATTTCTTCTTTTTCTTATATTTTATGGTTTTTCAGCCATTTTATTTCTTTTGCAGGCTTTTATTTTGCTCTGGAAACTGTCAGTGAAACACCACGAGGCTAGTACAGCCACACAGATTTAGTTTTTCGTCTTTCATTAAAATTGGCATGAAAAGTTAAAAGCCAAGTAAAGGAAGTGGCTGACGCCCATTTTTCTCCTTTTTTATGTCTTTCAGAGAGGGAGTCCTTCACTGCCTGTTGTGTAGCAGCAGACAAGGCAGGCCCTTTTGTTTGTGGAAGTCACAGTGAGCGCAAGGCTCAGGAGCCCCTTCCAAAACATTCGCCCACCATCGATCTACATTACCCGCTCTGCTGGCTAAATTATTTTAATCTGTTTTTGCCCCCAAACAATTTTACATCATAAGAAAGACAGAGTGAATAAAGCATCTGGAATGAAAAGTTATTTTCTCCTCTGTAAGAAAGTAACAAACAGAAGGTTTGACGACTTTATTTTTTGTGCAACCGTTAGTATAAATATTTTTGTCTGAATACATGAATAAATGCACTACAACCCTCTTCAAGCATTTCATACACTTTATTTGTTTTGGTTTGAGGAGTAACCATCTTTGCAGGATGTGTTTTAGCTTTAGCGTAACACTGAAAATTATTCAGATAACTGAGCACGAAGCATCAAACTTGGATCAATAGTTCAGATTTATTGAAATGGCCTTCTGTAGAAAGTTTATGAACAGTTATTATCTGAGCAGTTAGATACCATTGATTAATAGCCAATGGCTGAACTGATCAGACTAAAGTGGATTTCTGTTCTCGGAAAACAACTGAAATCTCAAATTTCTTGATGTTTCAAACAGTTTTATAAACCTTTATGGCAGAAACAGTTTGGCCCAACGTAGTTACTTTGATAAAATACAAATGTAAGTTGTGCTAGCTGTAGCACTTCCCATGCAGCCTGGAGGACTTCCAGCAGTAATATCTAACATACTTTTTCTGATGGAATAACTGTATTACATGCAATTAACTGTAAAGGTTTGTGAAATGAATTTGCATAAATGACTGAATTTTGCTCAGTATAGTTGTTTGCTATCTGATAAACAACATAATTAACTCCATTCCTATATTTTATTATTTATTATTTAAACCTTTTGTTTTACCAGGAAGATATCCGTTGAGATTATTAATCTCTTTTACAAGGATGTCCTGGACAATATGCAAATAGAGCAACAGGGTCTTAAGAACAGTAACAGCAGTATTAAAATATTTACAACAAAGCATCTAAAATATAAACTGAGATTGTTTAAAAGCTATCTACAACAGGTAAGATAATAATTGTTTATACTATTATCACAAATCCCATTATCGTAGCTTCCTCTCCAGCTAGTTTAGCTTTTTTTGTTGTTGTTTGAAAACCACTTGCTCTACACTGAAAGGAACAGACACTCTTTATTTCAAGCTAAATAATAAAACTGTGACAAGATTTACATATCTATGAAGACAGTCTGAGAGCAAAACTGACCTGCTGCAGGTGCCTCACCATTTATATTTTCATAAAATAAGGCCACATATTATGTAGGTGATCAACATAAAGTCTAAATAACCATTTTACATGCATTCATTCAGGAACGATCTGTTCCACCACTCCTCGATTGTGTTTCTTCTCCTTCAGGCCTGTACGAGAATGATTTTTGTCTCAACACAGAGTCTAAAATGAAAAATGCAGCACAGACACTTGCGCTCCACTTTCTTTATTTGTTTTTATTTATTGGATTATGTGTACAAGTTTGGAGTGAAGGAGTTCACTCCAAGTGCTACTGATTAATCTACATTTTCCTTTGTCAATGTCTGATTCGGTCCGTCTTTGTGTATTTTGTTGTCTGGTCTGGTTTTTTTTTTCATCTGCACTTTTTGCTGCTGTTTTAAGGTGATAGCTGGCATGACCGATTTGCAGAGCACTAAACACGAAAAGGGGAGAGGCTAGGGTATGTTTGCACTAAATTATTTTGCTAAAGTGATTACCCTTGGACCTTACTGTATCTTACCTAAATTGCAGTTTAACAAATTCAACAAATTAGTATGCAGACAGTTAATTTGCTTGCAAAGATAAGCAGACAGGCAGAAAATCCTCGAGCAATTCACTGCTACTTGCTCCACTGTTTGGAGGACGAGACAAAAACCGCAGACACAGTCACTCTACACATCTGGGCTGATATTTCCATACAAGCCTGCTCTTCCTGCTAACAAACCCCTGGGGGTTGTGTCTGAGATGCAGAGTGATCCTCAGTGTGTAACCTGCGACTGCTCTCGGTCAGACAGAGGTAATTTTGATATGTTGGCAGACAGTCCAGATGATGCAGATGCAAATTCTGGACAGAAGAGTCAAGAGGATTACAGAGCTAAAGAAAGATTGGAGAAAACAGGAAACATTTTTCAAATAAATACACTGACAAAAGACCCAAAAGAAATATGTTAATTTGGATTTTTAAAGCAGCAAAATGCAGATTTGAACATTACATCAGTACAGCTTTTATTTTAAAAGGACAACCTATGAGACATCATCTTTAACAGGAATGTGCTATTTAATGAACAATCAGCTCATGTTGTTTTCTCCAGTGATGCTACAGGGTTTCTTTTTTTTTATTAGTTTCTGGAATTTTCTTCCAATATTTATAATGTCACGTACAATAACTGTGCAAAATGTAAATATGTTCTTATGTTTTTACTAGAAAAACAAAATGAATCCGTTCAAATAATAAAAATATTAACCCAATTTGCAATTTCTGTGTATTGATACAGATTTCTGATCCTTGAGTTTCTCCTTGGTTTTACATCTGATATATACATACAAATACGTTGTGTGTGTATTTATACTTCAACATGTATTTTCATTCACCCACATTATTATGTTTATTTCAAATTACAAATAGGCAGCAAGTAGAAACAGTCAGGATGCACTGATGTTCTGTATGTTTTAAAATACCCCCAAAAAAGAACAATTTCTAAATTTCTTGTTTACCTATATAACTTTGCCTTTATACACATTGTATTTAACACGATGTGGTGGGAAATCATGTCGAACCCACATGCAGCAAGGCAGGAGGGCTCAGGAGACCAAAAAAAGGTCATTAGAAATTTTGCAAAAACATAACAAAATGCTGACAGGGCAGCAAAATCGTACTTTAACCAGAAGAGGACAGGCATATCTAGATCCAGCTCCAGATCCATGATCCATGATCCATGATCCATGATCCATGATCCGTGATCCAGACACCGTGGAAGGACAATACCTGGATCCAATGGGATGAAAAATAGATTAAGTACTAGTCACTAATGAGATGAGTGAGAAACACCTGCAGGACTGGGATAAGGTGTGCATGGGGACCAGGACAGGCAAGGACTTGTCTCAGTATGTAAATATATCCACTCTACTACCAAAATGCTATAGAGGGCTGAAAATGTGCTTACTACAATATCATGGTTTGACTTTGTGAAAGGATAAGTAAAGTATTTCCACAGATTTTGTTAAAATTAACTTTTTTTTTAAGTGAAATTTGCTACTTGCTAAAGTTTTCTTGAAATTAGTCAATTTGAACAAACTGTTAGCAGGTTGGCTGCATCATATTTCATAATGTGTTCAGTTACACAAAATTAAACCTGAGCTATAATGTCTTCATCCCAACACTCCCCTGCGTCTCATGTCATTTTTAGAACCATAATAAAAACAACACACATGATAAATCCAGATGTATAACGCTCAAAATACAGAAAATGTGGTTTGTAAAAATCTTTTGGCTTGCTCAGTGTACTGCCACACCGTACAGCTTTCTCTATAATCAAATCCACACACCTGGCTACCACCTGCCAAGCTTGCTGGAAATGTCATGACTAAATTTCTTTGTTGAAAAGGATTATGAGATTTCTAATTAGTTTCACGGTGTGTAATGCATTTAGGATGTCTTTCCTTGTATTATCTCAATGCAGTAAAAAACATGGAAAATGTGCTTAACATATGTTGCATAGATGTTTTTTTTTTTTTTTAAATGAGTAGAGAGGCAAGAAACTCCAGCTATAACAGATGCAGACATCCCTCACATGTTCTTGAGCACTGTATTGAACAGGATGCTGAAAAGCAGAACATTAACAGTCTCAAGGCTGCACGAAGCTCCAGTAAAATATGTCCTGATATGCAACTGGGGTGAATTAAGAGTGCCTGAATCAAAGTCACTCAGAAGCAGCTCCAGACTCAACTGCGTGGGACTCTATTTAACAAGGCCAACGGCATTTTATGAGGTTAAAATAATTTCCATAACTGTGATTTTCTGTATTTGTATGGAGGTCCAAACTAAGGTGGTTGTGAGGACAGTCAAGGTGTTTCTGAACAACGATAGTCAAATGTTTGTTAGTGTAAATGATAAATGGACTGTTCTTATATAGCACCTTTCTATATGATCAAGACACTCAAAGCACTTTACACTACAATCTGTTCCCTCATTTACCCATTCATACAGCACTCTACTAGATCTCTACAAAAAATAATCAGTGCTTTATCACATTCATACACCAATGGGACACACATCGGAGGCAATGAGGGGTTCACTGTCTTGCCCAGAGACACTTCGGCATGTGACTGCTGGTGGAATCTAACCCGCAGCTCTTGCTTTGGAGGACGACTGCTGTAATCACTCAGCCACAGCCGCCCCAGTGTGTGAGCATATGAAGCCAACTCAGTACTGTACAGGTCTGAGTCCTCGAGGCTCAATGAGACTAACCTGTTTAAATAAAGGCTGAATGAACATACACAGCATGGAAACACACCATGTAGGTTTTACTACGAAGCTGCTGTAATTTTGCTAAATAACACCGTCTTGCATTTTGCAGTGAGTTAACAAGCTGTATGTTTTGGTAGAAGCTGGTGTGAGAGGGGGTTATCCCACTCTGAAGTTCAAAAATGTCCTCAGGTTTTTAAGATATAAAAAAAAAATCAAGTAAAGCAGGTCCTCAGGCTCTATTTATTGAATATTTTTCTGTTTGTTTTTTTTTTTCTCTAAGCATGTTTTCTCCTCCTCTCTCTTCCTTCTGTGTTGCAGATTAATCCCAGGACCTAACAGAGAGCGCCCGCCGCAGGGCTGCGTTCCAGGCTCTTCCTTCATGTGCACCTTTCCTTTCCCCATCGAATGGTCTAAAAACTATTACATCTGCAGCTGCAAACTGGCTAACATGGGAGCACAGAAAGGACATCCACCCAGACAGAACAACTTTGCGTGCGTGGTGCCATGGATTTAAAAGCAGACTAATCCTCAGTATGATCAATGAGCCTCCATGTTGGTGACCCTCGTCTCTGCTGTAGCTGTGGCCAGTGTCCAACCTGCTGTCTTTCTGTTTCTTCACTCGTCTTTTCCTGAACACCAGGGACAGCTCAGCAGGGGTCATTTTCAGCTGGTTAAACACCTGAGGACAATCTCTTGGCCAGCCTGCTGGTTAAGAGGCTTGCATGGAGATCCACAAAATTAAGAGCACGGAGTCAAAATTATCCCCGCTCCGTTATTTCTGCGTGGAAAATATTAGTAAAGGACTTGCTGCTGGAGACGGATGGCATCGCTGTGAATCGAAGGAGGACATTTAACTGGAAAATAAAAAACTCCGATTTTCAGAAACTGCATCAGCAGCACACAACGAGATAATAAGGACGCCATCTGGTCTGCCTTCATGACCTGAGCTCCATCCTTCATAGGGAATATTTTGACGTTTATTGCTGGGCATGCCCATTGTAGATTCATGAGCACTTTTCTTTTTTTTTATTTTTATGTCAGATCATTTGTGTATATAAACACATATATAAATACATTACATGTACTGAAAAATGACAAACGGAGGCTGAAAATATATATTTACCATTTCAAGAGAAGCTCCTGGGATGGAATATTGATCAGCCCCTGAATATAATCCAGGAGCTGATATATAGATGACAGCGTCACACGGTGTATGCTTGCATTGGGGCGGGGGGGGCGGGGGGGGGGGGGGGTGGAGGCTGTAACTGAATCATAAAAACAAGTTCTGGTTGTCATTTAACAATGTTTTCCGTTGAGACAGACGTCGCTTCTGTAAAAATAAGGAAAAATAATGTATAGCGCTGCTTCACTTTTATAAGCAGCAGTGACAATAATTCTTGATCTACCCAAGCACAGCAGGAGCTGCAGAACAGCTGCGAGCATGATCAGAAGACGTGTTCATGGGCAAGAGTCCTTGTCATGTAGATCTCGCTCACACACAGGAGAGAGAAGTTACTTCAATTGACATCCAGAAAGTATTAGGAGAAAAATAGCTATCCCCCAGTAGATATAAGTACCTTACAAGACAGCCTTATGAGAAATAAAAATGTTTTCTATACTAATATGCTGTCTCTCTTTTCTCAGAATGAAAGTTTGAAAAATGTTCCCCTTATGACTGGTTGATGTGTTGCAATGCGTGGGTGGAGGCTCTCCGGGATTTCATTTAAACCATGCGTTAACACTGTGAACAAGGCTTTTTGCTTGAGTAAATAAGCAATCAACAACAGCACGAGAAGAGTACGAGAATGACTTCCGGGCACACAAACAAGTCGCACACGCAGCAGCCACAAACAAATCTGCAGAGCTTCATTTAGGTAATTCCCCCGGCGGCAGAGTGGATTTATCAAAACAGAACATTCAATTCATTCGTGGCAATTAGAATGAAGATTTTCAATATCGGAGAAGGCAAAATTCCAGATGATTTTCAATATCAGCCTCTTCTCTCAGCTGATATTAGATTCGTCTCGTGTCCCGGCGGACGCACTGGTGTACATTCATCATTTAGGGATATGGCTAGTTTCGAGGAGCACGCTGCCTCGCTGAGCAGTCACAGAAGGTATGAAAAAGACAGACGCATCAATCTCCCAGCAGTCTCACCAGAATCATGAAGGAATATGCAAAGGGAGTGGAAGAGAAAGATTTTTTTCCTCCTCGCTGGTTCGTTTCCCTCTTTGTTTTCTTACATCTGATAAGATTCACTGTCCTGCTTCTTTAGCTTGTGCTGAACAAAATAAGTCAGTGAATGAGTTTCTGGGTACACAGGACTGTGTATCTGGGAGTCTTCTGTTGCTATAGATAAATATGTGTGCATTTCTTAGTTAATCTGGGGCATCCATGTGCGCCCAGAATCTGTGAAACAGACGTCTCACCAACTCATCCTGTGAAGATCATCCCGACATTCAGTGCTTGTGTGAGAAATCAAGTGTTTCCCCTCCTTACTTGTGCAAACTCTACGTAGACTTTTTGCCTAAAAGGTGCTTATGGACCATTACTGGGAAAAACGTACTTTATGCACTTCTTAGTTCTATACAAATATAGTAAAGTCATGTTAAAGAAGGAGGTCCTGCTGCATTTTGTTTGACTGAGCAAAAGAGAACACAACGTGAATAAATAAAAAAGGGCCAGGGTATCCTCCCTTTCTGCAGTACTGCAATCTCAAGAATCGAGACATCCATCAAGTTGTGCAAACCTCCAACTGCGACGGATCGACAGCCATGTCCATATGCTGCTGTAGAGCTAATCAACAACTGACAGCAAGGACAACGTGTCTCATAAAGTCAACCCTTGTGCTGAAAATGGGAACACAGTATACACATACACACACACATACATATACATGTATATATATATATATATATATAT